AACTGTTGTTAACCTGCAGTCACAGCAAATAGACCTCTTTTCGTAACTTTACTTCAGAGATCTAGTTATTTAAGGGGTTTATATATGCAACGTAGGTTGACAGCAGAACTCAAAGGGTATTGTCAATAAGCATCAAAGTGAAAGTGCATGAGTAATAACTGTGTTTAAAAATAGTGAATCTTAGGTTATCAAGAGGGTCGACAACTTGTTAACTGAATGATCAGTAATCGTTTGGAAGTCATCGGTAAGAAACTAGAGAACAGAGGATTGAAAATGTATTACAAAAAAAGAAACAGCGGACTTCATAGAAATCCTCATAGACCTACTTAGGAAAACAAAGAATACAAATTATTACAAAGGCCATGAGAGTAAAACGGATTGGACAAAACGTCTCTGAACATGAAGTGTGCGTCGATGGCACAGTGGTTAGAACTCTCGCCGGCCATGCACATGGCCTGGGGTTCGATCCTCTGTCGACGCACACCTGATATCTACGGTCGGCCTGCAAAATTTGGGCTACCAATATCACATGCTGAAAATTCCATACTTGTACCAAAAATACGGTGTGGAATCAAGCTGTAATCAAAAAATAAAGTAACTTCAAGTTTCTCCTTAAGGATGGAAAAGGTTGCACCTGCATGGAGATGTAAGCTAAATCCTTTCAGACAACTTGTTCGTAATTTATACGAGACTCCGGAAAATTTTTGTGCTGATGTTACATGACCAAAAGTAATAATAAGCTCCAGGACTGAGCTGTCGACTGTTTTGAGTTCTCTTTTCGATAACCATGCTAATAAGTGTTTATGGGAACGTTCAGGCGGACTATGTACTAAGCTCCACAAAGGTGAACTGGTAGACGGATACTGAAGTTGTCAGCACAGTTTTTTGGCGAATAAGAGCATACGTCGAGGTGAGGCGTAGAGATGCGGCAAAGAACGTTCTTGAGGTCGCTCTAGATTGATGGTTTCGGATAACTTTACTAATTGTATCTCCTTCGAATTTCAGTTTTACAGTTAGCTGTTTTGTCAGCACATCCAGGCTTCAAGGAGTATCAGTCTTTCTCCTTAAATGATTATGAATGACATTGGATACTTATTTTCAATTAGTCTTTCTGAAGGATTCCAACTCCTTATCGAATGTCTTTAAGTCTATATACGGTAGATTCTGGTCTCAAGGAGGTGATGAGATTTATTTTTCTACTCACTGACAGGCTGACTGGTCTTAACATAGAACTTTGCACCAACGTGCAACAGCTCAAGTCACCACACTCCATGTACCACACAAAGCCAGAAAAGAAAGTAGAAGAAATGATAGAGACAGTAAACAGAGGTGTGAGACAAAGGAATAGTAATAACGAAGAACAATATAGTTTTTGATTGGAAATCATAAGTCACAAGGAGTGGATGCATCTGCACCAGCCATTGAGAACGATTTTGAGCCATATCACCGATTGCTTCCAGCCATTAGTTTTTACTATCCCGAGAACCCCAACCAGGAAGTCTACATCTTCCTACTTGGCATAAACTAACTGTTGTAGATTTCATTGACTGGTCCCATGTTTTGGTTTGACCACCGCTAGCTCTTTTCCAGCCTGACCCTATGTCAACTAGCATTCCCCGTTAAGGAAGGCGACGGTTAGGCATACGTGACACATGTCCTAACCATCTCAGTCGATGTAACTTCACAACTTTGTCGATTGATTTCCCCTCTCACCTACCTAGAACTCGACCGAAGCATAACCTCAATATTGCTCACCTTATTATACCACTTCACACGGGAGATAGAACCCAGGTACCTATGATCAAAGACAGCTAACCAGCCTTTTCATGTCTTCCACTCTCAATGGCCAGGTCTCACAACCAGCCATAAAGGAGGACGGGTTGGACTGCTGAGCAGAGCATGTCGTTTGTTAAATAGCCGGCTGGATATCACATCTACTAGGTCACAGACGGCGTAAACTGGCATATGCGAAACTAGCCTTCTGTATCCGTGCTGAGATTTCGTCAGCGATCAACCCGTTGGCTCTGGCTGATGCAACTTCCTAAATAAGTGAAGTGGTCAACACGCTCTACCACTTCACTCCTTATTTCTAAACTTGGGGTCAATTTAATCCAGTCCTGTAGCATCATCTTGCATTTGACAGGAGTGGATCGCATGACAAACATTCGAAGATTGAAGCTCAAGGTCTTCACAAGACTCTGCATTCTGTCAGCGTCTTCACCTAGGAAGGAGGACTATATCAAGTGCATATTCTGAGTCGACGAGATTATTCCTTGGTAACAAGTCGGTTCCTGAGTCTCTGAAATTAGTTAGAGCTGAGTCCATTAGTATTATATTTATGATGAAATTGAACAGAAATGGGGATAGTCGGCATCCCTGACGGTCACCAATGGTTGTCACCACAGTTGTCAGATGACAACTCGCCGTAGGCTCCCACCTAGCTGATTGAATGAGTTCATGTAGAGTTACTTGATCAGTGTGATGTTTTTTCTCGTCATTCTCCTCACAATCAAACATTTCCATAGTACCTCGGTCGACGGAATGGAATGCCACTTTCAGGTCAAGAAACATGACTACTGTTGAACGCCGGTAAGTATGCCTATGTTGCAGAGTAATTGTCGATGGGTGAAGATATATGATCAATACACTCTCTTCCTGGTCTACAGCCTTCCTGGTTCTCTTGTGTATGTTCCTCCCGAGCACCACTTAGCCTACGCATGATTATCGAGCCTAGAACTTTAGATAGCATATTGGTCAAGCTGATCCCTCTGTGACCATCACAGGAAGATTTGCCTCCCTCCTTGTTTGTCGGGATAATCGATGACTTAAACCAGCTCGACAGGACTGTCTATGATTCCTAGACACTGCCTAGTGCCTTAGTTAATATAGACAATAAACTGTCTCCACATCCTTAAATACCTCTGAAATCATTCCTTCGGGTCTCGCAGCCTTGCCTCGTTTCAGACTGTTGACAGGCTTAATAACCTCAGTTAGGGACGGTGGACTTATGTCTATATCCCGCTCAGGAAGGTGTTGTATGTTGGGTATGTTGAGCGTGGCTCTAGGCCAATTGAATCGCTGCTCAAAGTGTTCTTTCCAAAGTTCTAGTCGTCTATCCTGGGTTTTCTGCTCATTGGGGCAAAAATGTGATAGTTTGTCAGCTGCGCATCCCATTTCGGATTGAGGTAGATTGATCTCTGTAGGTTTCTATCTGATTCTTTTGCGAATTAAACATCTAGGGAGGATACTACACATTCTGGTTCTGCTTCGATTTTGAATTCGACTGACTGCATTTTTACTATGTCGGCATTTTCATCAGTGATCATGAATATATCATTTTTAGGCTGCTCGTAAATTTCGAATCGTTTGATTGTTGGTAGGAGGATATTTGATTCAAGGTAAACAATAAAGCGATCGGTAATCAAGGGATCATGTACATAATCCATAACTACACTATCTTTCTGTAGGTATATTCGACCACTGCATAAAATCTGAACACTCAGTGTGTATCTCAGTATTAGTTCTTTGATTGTTCTTAGTGGACAAATCGACACTCAGGTTATTTAAGTCGATAAACTCAAAGAGCATACTGATTACGTTCAGAAAACATTCGTGAATAGGGAAACTACGTCCAACGGAGCTACAGTTAACCCAGATGCATCCAGTTGACTTACTGAATCTACGAATTTCAAAAGCATTCTTCAAGGAGTGCTTCGCCATTAGCTTTCCTGCGGGTTAGAAAGTTTCGGCTAACCATAATGCTACGAGATGATAGGGCGATCTGTACACACCCACGGCCACAGAGATACCCCTCTTTGTGGATATTTGGTAAACTGTATGAGCATGAAATTGTTGAAACAGACGGTCGTATCATGTCATACGTTTGTGGTCTAATTAGTGAGTCAGTGTTTCATTCTCAAAAAGACGTTTATTAACTGCTTTTCACTTTGTGCAGTGTTGTTTTTGACCAGTCAGGTTTCAGAATTTTCTGTCATCGCTGAAAATTTCGGTTACCTCTTGAATATAATCTAATCTGTCCAATAAAACTATTCTATTGCCTATATCACTGAATAATACAGTTGTTTCAGGACGAGTGGTTCTCCTCCAAGGACGTTCTCTACCAACAACATATATCTAAGCGATCTATGACTGTTCATTGTTGGGTTGACATCGGTAGTACCCAGATGGTAAAATGTTTCTCTACACGTTTAATGGAAACTTGGTATAAATTACAAATGTCTAGACTGACAACAAGGATCAGCAATGTCTCATGGTTTATCTGGGGATGTTGGTGATTAGATGAGCTACGGCATTAGATATTACGTTGAAATCCGACTGCTCTACATCATAAATCATTTTAGTTTATTGGATGAGAATTTCAAAGGTTGTTTATCCAAAAAATACAGACAGGCTTTATGTTCAGCAAGTAATGTAAACATCAGCTACAACTTAAATGAAGATGGAACCAAAATTGTTAAAGTAGTTTCACAAACCCAAATTAACTGTTGTTGGATGACTACACGAACAGTAAACACTCATCTAGTATTTTTCAATTTCTTATCAGAATAGACTGTAAAAAGCCTTTGGAAAACACGGCTAGGCAGCTGATGGACTACTGTCGAGTAAACTGATAAAAGATGAGTTCCATATTCAAAACTACCACCTCCCTATATTTAAAAAATGAACTGATTTATGACTAGAATTGTAGACAACAAAAACAATAGCATCCATGTAAAGCCTAGCTTTTTACCTGAATCATATAGAAGTATACACAGTTTCGCTGGAGTACTCGATCTTTGATAACGTAGGGCGAAGACAAACACTAGAACAGACTGACTCACTTGTGATCGTCTTTCAAATCCTTAACATTTTTAAAACTTAACTCATGTAAAAATGTCTTCTGCTTGCCTTATGTGGGCTGACGTAGTACAGGTCAGTCAGTTATCCTCTCTGACTACAAAATCGCATTCTGAAATGCTTCAACAAAAAAGGGACTACTGGATATTTATAGTTTATACTTGTATAAATTATAGGTGGAAAAGAGGCACAAATGATAGTACACATTTTATAAAGCATACAGTTAAATTATCTAGGCAGCTGATTGATTATAGCGTGTTGTGTTAACTAGACGCACACCACACATGGAACAGATACCTTTCTTGAATGCACATTGTTGGCAATAATGCGAACCTGCCTGATGAACAGTTTGGGCACATATTCTGCATCGGGGAAATGAAGAGGAATATGGACTAAAGCGATTTTTCGAACTTGTCAGTAGCTTATTTTCATTGAGCTTCTTCCCGCCTCCACTGACCGTGTTCCGTGCACCTGCTTTCCAAGGATCGGGCGTGATTACCTTTCCCAGCTTTTTCTCGCCTAGTAATCTAAAATCAACAATGAAAATTCAACTTACACTTCTCACAAACCATTTGCAATTCTGCAACACCCCTGGAGTGAATATATGTCTGAGCAAGTGACCAAACAATATTCACCAGAAATCACTCGGACAGCACGTAATCTGGAAAATAACTAATAGGTATGAGCCAAATGAACGGCAGCAGTAATAGACGTACTGGTTTACAATTCACACTGTCACAATTGGCATTCGCACATTGAATTAGAACTCAGCATATTGAAAATAATCGGGACACCACCGAGACATACAACGCAGTTGGTGTTTTTTAAAGCAAGCAAAATACTTTCAATGACATTCGCCATGATTTCGATGAATTCTAAACAAAATTTTGTAAGACCACTAGTCACTAATCGTGAGTCTTTCGGCCACTAAGTTACATATGTCATGACCAAATCAAATTAGGCAATCTTTTGTGAATTCGCTTAACGAAGTGAGTGTTTGATCAAGCACTAATCCAATATCCAATATCGTTTTTACGAGCTAGTATAAACCAATTTGATTTCTTTGTGCTCGCCTCTTGATTGTGAGGTATAGGTTCTTGATCTTCGATTAGTGTAAATAACGGGTTGCTTAAAAAGGCTTGAGGAATGCTATTAGACGCTTAACTCGGGGGAAAATGCTAACGGACACCAAAAAAGCGACAGGAGCTTACTATAATGTTGATTTAAATCTCACTAATTCCAAACCGACTCTAACTTTCTGTAATGAGTTAAATTCTTTGTTCTGAAATGGTTTGGTTATGCCCACAGACTAGATATCGGCGCTGGTTTTCGGAATAGCTGTGCACTTTGTAGGCATTTCCAGAAGTAGCTCAGAATCTACTGTTTGCTAGTCAACTTTATTTGTCGCATTAATGAAACGCCCAGTGTTCTTTTTAGGAACGACCACCACTATTGAGGTACATAGTGGGCTCATTCTATGTAGGTAATGTATTCCTTTACCATAAAAAGACATCGTCAACGCATAGGTTATAATTAGTGTTGAACTATTGTAAGCTTGGTGTTTGTTCGGGATTTATTCGTACGATGTTAATAATGTGTTAAAACCTCCACGACACTATACCTAATCATATTTGGACAACAGATTAACGAAAGTTTTAAGCGCTACTCTGCCAAAAAGTCGAAATAGTGAACCAACCTTGTATATTCGATATCAAACACCAAACAGACGAAAGAAGAATGTAACGCAAGGAAGTGAAACTAGCAACAAAAATCAGTGGTCCAATTAATAACACAGAATGAAACTTTTTTTTTTAATCCTTGTAGCCAGCTTTCATAATAAATGTTTCTCCCTACAATACGCAATTCGGCCAAGTTAAACTTCAAGCACCACTAACTACCATTCAGCCAATGACCTCGAATGGTCCAATGAGCTTCATACACGTGATTTCAAGTTTGTATTCCTCCATGGGTTATTATAATACTGGTGTGCAGGGAATCGTCAGTTTACCCATTCTGTTATAACTTTTGCAATCAACAAATTAATGCAACATATAAAACTTAGTCTGACCATGGTAATTTGTCTGATTTCTGGAATAATTTTTAATTTTTTTTAATTTTGATCATAGTTTGAAACCACACAGCATTTTTAGTACAAGTATGGAATTTTCAGCACGTGATATCGGTAGCCCAAACTTTGCAGGCCGACCACTGATATCGGGTGTGCGTCGGCAGGAGATCGAACCCCGGACCATGTGCATGGTCGGCGAGAGTTTAACCACTGTGCTCCCGACACAACAGTAGGTCAGCTGGTCTTGATATGCTGAACATGAAGTATCCCCCCTTCTAACTTACCGTACAACTACATTTTTCAGTCTATTTTCGATGTCTTGTACTGACTGAACTATCTTCGTGAAAGTCACAAAATATATTCAAATGAGATTCCTTCGTCTCTATATTATTATTAACCTGTTTTTTCTTCACAAAAGTATTAACTCGCGGATATTGTAAGTGAAAATGTAGCGAAAGCTGATTTTCCAGAGTTATTGTCCATAGCATTCATCACTGAAAATTGGATGCTGACCTTCAATGTATAAGCCGATTTTTTTATCTGAAGGCCTATGGCTAAGTATCCACACTATTCGACGCGCAGTTGTGCTACCTTCTTTCGTTCGTGTACGATCCCCAGCCAGTCCTGAAATATGCTACCTAGTTTGGATTGTCGATTCTGACATTTTGCTTTGCCTCCCATCTACCCGGAACGAATACTACAAAAGTTGTTAGTATTAGATCCTGCGTTAGTATACTCCGTACTACCCGTTAACATCAATATCCCCAGCAACTAAACAATAATCATTGAATTTCATCATCGTCATCGTCCTAATGGGTTGTGTGCCTGGCACAAACACTGATATGTTACCTGACGAAGACACTACTACACTCTCCGACGAGGGGAAAATCTCCATGAAGCGGTAACAACTTCCGTATCTTTGGAGTCTACATCTTGTGAGTTTCCCTGCTGACTGGTATAACTACTGTTTATTCAGCTAGTGGTTCTAAAATGTCAGGTACAGATAATAAAGATTCAAGCTCGTCTGTGATGAAATCAGTCTTCCTTTGGTCTGCACATTTTTTACAAATATCCTATATCTTCACTACTACTAATTTTTATCTCTGTGCAATTCATCTTCCTTGTATAGTTCTCCCTTTTTACCACAGTACATCCAATATTTGGCCCAGTCTTCGACTCATTCGTCCACTCATTCTCGCGAAAACCCTTATGATTTTCTATATTGCATTCCATGGCGTGTTTTCAACTCTGTAACCTGTCCCAGCCCCAGGTGATCTAACTGACGGGCCTAACCAAAGTTCCAATTAGCTTTAATCTCCCGGACAGTCTGAATGACCTAATTTTTGAGTGGTTATCGGAAGCGAGCAAGAAAATACTGTGCTCGGTTAGGTAATCTAATGGTACCTCATCATTAAATGGCATATCACAGCCAGATGCTTGCTTATTTATGTTGGAGTGGTTATAAAAATAATAGACAAACAGAAGGAATGAAACAGTTTTGCACCTGTGGCGAATCACTTATTTTTATTATGATAACAGCACTAATTATTGGAAGGCTTGAAGAGCCATGATCCCTTGAAATTTTTTCCCCTCCCCTCTCATCTCAATAAGATATAGTGCTGGATAGTGTTCTGTAGCCATCCAATCCACTTGGGTTTACATGCTTCTCTGAAAACTGCCTTTATTTTACCTTCTATTTCCGCCATTAGCCATCTACTTGATAATGGAACAGCGCCATACATGCGTTTCTTAAAACACTGTCGTAACAGCCACTGCTTGAATTGGGCCCACCAGATTCGGACTCTCAGTCTTCGGCTATATACATAGCATAATAGAATGTTCCATATTAAATTCAGTTAACAACAAACTGTAGGAGAACTTCAACATCGCTGTCCTCTTTATCAAGATAAACCAGATGATTATGTATTATTACTGTTCCCTTGGGTTCCTAGTGGAACATAGGGCTTCAACTGCACATCTCCCTCCCTTGCTTCTGTCTTCTACTGTAGTTTTCACCTGCATCCATGCATGTTAGTCCATACTCTTTCAACTCCACCCCACATTATCTCCTCCTCCATGTCGCCCTTGCACTGACGACCCACTCGCCGCTTCCCCTTCGGTTTCCCCTCGAGCAATGGTCTGACGCGCGCGATGTCACCCAGCGGCCTCCTCACCGTGAGCGAGCGTCCAATCCGTCTCAATCCACTTTCTCCTGCATATTTCTTGGTTGGCGATTGGTTCTTGTTTTGTTTCTTCCCATAGTTTCTTGTTGGTGATTCTTTCCGGCCCAGTCATCTGATCTTCATTCAGTATAGAGCGAAGACAGTTAGTTGTTGATAAATGTCTGCAACAGGCTGTTGCGAATATTCTTGGTGACCCGCCCGCCCGCCAAGTTTCTCATCCGATCCGTATAGAAGAACTGACTGATTTGAGTTGTTTGTATTGAAAATCCGACCGAATTTTGTTGTTGATACCGAGTGATGAAGACTTCCAGATTGGTTTCAGGTTGATGAGTGTGTGTCTCGCCTTCCCGATTCGATTCTCGATTTGACATCCTTTTCCGTTCCTCCCCGTGCACTTGAGACAAAGCTCAATGCTAGATAAGTGGATGAAGTAACATCTTTCAAATCCCTCCCGTTGATGGTGATTGACGCTGGATGTTGCTGTTGTTGTTGGTTGGTTGGTTTTATCACCTCCGTTTTGTCTATGTTCAGCCGGAAGTCCTGCCTTCGCTGGCTGCTTCTTCGATCAGTTTGTCGGTTTTCGCTTGTAAGTCTCGGATTTTGTGTGACATCAAACATAAATCATCCACGCGCGAAATCCAGGTCTTCTAGGTTCTTCACGTCGGTCCAGAATACCCCTGTCTTCTCGTTCCCCACCGTCTGAGATATATTCCAGTCCACCACAATTAGGAATATCATTGGTGATAATAAGCCAGCACCCTTGTCTGACTTCTTTGTTTACTCCAAACGCCTCGCTGAGTTTTCCGTTGTGGATCACTTGGCGTGTGCCGTTGTCGTACAGCTGTTGAATAAGGTTGATGAATATTTGGGGTACGCCGTAGTACTCGAGTAGTTTCAAAACTCCTTCACGGTCAACGCTGTTGAAGGCCTTCTCGAAGTCTATAAAGTTGAGGTAGAGGTTTGATCGCCATTCCATGCTTTGTTCTGTGATGATGATGCGTAGAGTTGCAATTTGGTCAGTACATGATTTTCTTTTCCTGAATCCAGCTTGTTCTGGTTGGAGTTCTGCATCCAGTGCGTCCTTTATTCTCTCCAGGATGATGAGACTCAGGGTTTTACTTGACGTAGACAGGAGCATGATTCCCCGCCAGTTCTCGCAGAGTCCTAAGTCGCCCTTCTTTGGTGGTTTCACGAGGTAACCTTTCCTCTAGTCAGTAGGCACTTTTCTCTCCTTCCAGACCTTTTGAAATAATGGAGACAGCATATCTGCTGTCGTCTCTGGATTCACATCTAATCCTTATCTCCGTGTGCATGTCATTCTCAGAACTAGCCTCCCCGGCGTATACGACCCATCTCCTGTCCTTAACATCAGTCAATTCATTCATGGATGTAGAAGAGTGGACAGAACTTCAAAAGTAATCATGACGAAAATTTTAACAAAAATATGCAATAAAAACAAGGTACGAAAACAACAAGTAAACACAGTGAATCCAAAAACACCAATTGATATGACACACCACACGCACATGCAAACAGTGCATATAAACTCACATGTCTTGATGGAATTCCTTTGAAAAATTGCAGGACTTACACCAGCACGCCTGCAACCCTTCACAGGTTGACGATTGTAAGTTGTGGAATGTCCGGACACAAACAAGATTATTCAACAATTACATTAAAGAACTGTAGGAATTACAGCAGTACGCCTACATTCCTTCTCAGGTTGATGATACAAGTGGAAGTCGTCCGGACACAAACAGAATTACCAACAGATAGATGAAAGATGATATCAATTCAGTATATACAATATGAACATATGCACAAAATCACACACCGAGCACATTGGGCTGCTCATTGATGCGCTACCCTTTGAAGAATTGTAGGACTTACAGCAGTACGCCTACAACCCTTCTCAGGTTGACGTCCTAGGTTGGAAAATCGTCACAGAGTTCATGTGCTGACCTCCTCCTATCAGCTATATCCTCAAATCTGAACGGCAACTCACTCATGTCATTGTATCGTAGAATATAGATGACCAACAAACACACGATATATCTCATCAACCAAGTGTAGAAACAGAGTAATTTACACCAAAGATAACAACATTCAAATAGTAACTTGAAACTAGAAATGCCTTTATTCGTGCACGTCAATTTAACAATTAATCATTCGTTTACACTTGGCTTATCCTCTCTTAACTGAGCAATATCTTTCGTACTTTCAAATGCACCAATACTATCAAAATCATTGCACAAGATACTTGAGTTGATGGGCGACTGTTTCATTGTGGATGACAACACCAACGATGACTGAGTGACACAAGGTGATGAACTTAGCGGTGGATCAGAAGCTGTTCTTGTTCGGCCTTCAGAAATTTGTCCACCTGCAAGACCACCACCACTGCTGTCTTTTTCTATTAGCTCAGGTTCAGCACTAGCATCTGATGATATGTGGGCTACATGCTGATC